CGGACTCTATTGTTCCTTCCTCGCCATGATAGGCGATCTAGGATGGATGCCTTTCGGTTCTCCTTGTAGTGCGAGGAATGTGCGCTAAGCTATACAGCTGCAGAACTACCCTTCACTGCTCAGGGGTTCATTGGAGGTGCGTCATCTTCTCTTGTCCTTGCTCGAACCTGCATCCAGTAAAGCAAATCAAGTAGAATAGGAGTTTCTTAAATTTATGTGCTATCGGTAGTTAGGCGAAAATTGTTCTCGTGATCTCTTTTACGAATATGTTCTCTTATAACCCATCTAGCCCGGTCTAGTGGATGTTGGATTGAGGTGGTATTACCCATCTTTTAATGTGACGAGTTTTACCATTGTTGGACTTAGCCTCTTTGGTTTGAGCGTTTAGATCAGGCGTCATCCTCTACAACTTAGCTGATTAACCATCCTTTATAGGGGTGAGTCAACTCTATAATTGTTATTGGACTTAGCCCTCTGATCTGATTGTTTAACCCGGGCATCGTCCTACGTACCCTAATCGTCCCGACCTCCATCGAGGTGGGTCGACACATGCCTCACCTTGGACTTGGTTAGTGTAGTGCCTCACATATTGTTTAAGGTGACTTAGCACGAACATTGTCCTATTGAATTGGTACGAAATCCCTTCTTGTTGTGGTATAAGCTTATTCCCACCTTTCTTGAGGTTTGTGTACAACGTTGTCCCGGTCGTCCCTTTTTTTGAGTTAGTGATGGAGTACTAAACTGAGTAGGAGATCAAATTAAGTTTATTCATTGGTAATAATGGTGTACATTCATTGCAAGTAACTGATAAAATTTGATCAAATTTTTTCTATTCCAAAGACGTGGGACATCTCCCCCACTTGGGGTTTGTAATCGGTAGGTTCCGTCCACCAACACCCCCTTTATGATGTAAGGGTCCTTCGTAGTTCTTTGCAAAATTTCATTCCTCGGTCGGCTTGTTGAACTTCCTTTTCCTCAACACCCAATATCCTTGCTGGAATAGCCTGGGTCAGACTCTCTGGTCGTGATATGTCTTGACTTGCCGACAGTAGTTCTCGGCTCGCATGTAGGACCTTTCTCTTCTATCATCGATCAAGTGGAGTTCTGCTGCTAGGCTTCCCTCGTTGTGTTCCGCATCAAAAGTTTCCACCCGATAACTCAGTAGTGTGGTCTCCGCGACGGCCCTTTCCTCAAACTCGTAGGTTAGGGAAAACGACGTGTCTCGAGTTGCTTTCCTCGAAGCAGTTTGATAAGTCCACACATGTACGGTAGCTCCTCCACCCAGTCTTTCCTGCATTCCAAAATCTTTTTCTTTAGGTCGTCTATGATGGTTTTGTTGGTGTTTTCTACTTGGCCGTTCGTCTGAGGATATCCGACCGAGGCGTAGCTATGCTTGATCCCCCAGCTCTACAAGAACTCATTGAATCCTCTAGCCTCAAATTGTGTCCCGTCATCGGTGATGATCTATTATAGCACCCCAAATCGGCACAAAATCTGTTTGGACACGAACCTTTGCATCTGCTCTTCCGTGGTGGTTGCCACTGGAGCGGCCCAACCCACTTAGTAAAGTAATCGATGGCAACCACCAAAATTAATTGTTTCCCCCAGTTCCCTTAGGCAATATGCTTACCATGTCGATCCTCCACATTGCAAATGGGATTGCGGTTCTGATCGGGGTGTAGTTGGTCGCCGGTTGACCAAGTACCCTCTGGGATTCCTGGCATAGTTTACATTTGCGAACGTAATCCATGCAATCCCGAATAATTGTAGGCAAAAAGTAGCCTTGCAAGGTGATCTTTCTGGACATGGTAAATGCTCCCTAGTGCGCCGAACAAATCTTCTCATGGATCTCCTCCACTAATTTTTATGCTTCCTTGGCTCTGAGACACCTTAGCGAAGTCCCATTATAGGATCATTTGTATAACCTCCTGCACTCCAATGTGTAGCTTGGTGCGTGTCGCTTGATGACCTTTGCCACGACCGGGTCGGTTGGCACCGATCCCTCTAGTATATTTTCCGTCAACTCATCCACCCTGTCCGGTTCCCTTGTCGTGATTGTCAAGATCTCACTAGGACTTATGCTTGATTCGTGAAGTTACTTTTCTTGAGTCATCGCCTTTGTGTGTTCTGGTGAGTCCCGATCAAGCTTGGAGAGTATGTATACCTCAATGTTGTCTTCTCGAGGGACATGCTCCACTCGGTAAGTGGTAAAAGCTCTGAGGAGGTCCAAGGCTGCATCCCAATATTTTTTTCATTCTCTCGTCTTTTGCTTCGAACGCTCCTGATATGTGGCTGGCCACCAGCCTTAAATCGCCTCGTATTCTACCTCATTATTGGACACCTTGAATCGGAACGTTATCGAGTAATATGCTTTAAAACCCTCTGAGGATATGAAAACTACTCCGCCTCTAGAGGCGTCGGTCAAAGACGACCCATTAAGGAAGACCTTCCAACAATTTCCTCCTTCATTATTTCCCTCAAGCGTCACTTCTTCCCTTGCAGTGCATTCAACCATGAAGTCCGCTAATGCTAGACCCTTGATCGTCGGCCGAGGATTGAACTCAATTTGGAATGACCCCAAGAACATGTCCCACTTCCTCACCCGGGATGGTGCATTTTAGCTCCGAATGAGAACTCTGATGGGCTGCTGGGATAAATGTTTGACCAGATGTGCTTGGAAATAAGGGGTAAGCTTTTTTACCATGCAAACCATGGCGAACATTGTCTTCTCAATCACTGAATACCTTAGCTCCGCTCCCCTCAACACTCTGGCTACATAGTACACTGGCTGCTATATACCATCCTCTTCCATGTCAAGCACTGAGCTCACAACTTGGGGAGAGACACCCTGGTATAGGTACAACGTCTCCCTGGATCCGGCTTTGAAAGCACCGGTGGGAAAGGGAATAGGCCTTCAACACTTCAAATCACCGCTGGCAATATTTCGTCCATGCAAACCCTTTAACTTTCTTGATTGTCTCAAAGAGTGGTGCCACTCGATCAACAATCTTTGATAGAAATCTGCTGAGAGCATCTATTCTTCCGGTTAGTTGGTGGACTTCCTTCACATTTTGTAGCGGTTCAATGTCAAGGATCGCTCAAACTTTCTCGGGGTTTGGCTTAATCCTTCTCCTCATGACCATATGCCCTTTGAACTTACCACCCTGTACGCCGAGCGTGCATTTTTTGGTGTTAAGCTGAAGATGGTACTTTTGCATGATCCAGAACACCTGATCTAGATCTTGGGCATGCGATCTGGCATGCTTTGACTTGACGATCATATCATCCACGTATGCCTCCATGAATCCGCCTAAGACTGGGGCGAACAACTTGTTTATCATTTGTGCATAGGTCGCTCCAGCATTATTCAACCCGAACGGCATTACTCGATAGCAATAAACTCCATTTGGTGTGATAAAAGAAGTCTTCACCTCGTTGTCTGCGAACATCCTGATTTAATGATACCTGCTAAAGGCATCCATAAAACTCATTAGTTCACACCCTGCGATTTCGTTCACTAATTAGTCAATGTTGGGCAGTGGGAATGGATCCATTAGGCATGCTTTGTTCAGGTCAGTGTAATTTACGCACATCCTCGAGTTATTCCCTTTGGGTGCGAGGACTATGTTTGCCAACCACTCCGGGTATCTGACTTCTTGAATGTGCCCTATGGACTGCAGGGTGCTTACCTCTTTAGTCACAAAATACCTTCTCTCCAAGGAGAGGGAACATTTCTTCTGCTTAACAGGCTAATGGGTTCAATCGATCGCCAACTTATGGCAGACGACCCGCAGATCGACCCCAAGCATGTCCCCTGGTCCCCAAGTAAACAACACCTTAAATGATATGAAAGTCTTGACCAACTGCCTCCTCCGTTCATACAGTAGTGCTTTCCCAATCTTTACCCTCTGGTCTGGCTTTGAAGCATCCAACACTACTTCCTCCACTTTATCCGTTGGCTCTAACATGGGCTGGCCTTCCTCCTTCTGGATTGTGGCGCAGATCATGCAAACGTTCTCGTCAATCTTGGCATAGCTCTTGGTTTCCCTAACATAGCACGACCTTGATAGGCGCTGGTTCCCTTTTGTTACACATACTCCCGTACGGGTAGGAAATTTCATACACAAGTGTGTCGGGGAGATTACGCAATCCAAATCCTCCAGGCCTGGACGTCCTAGAATCAAATGGTGTGAACCCTCTAGGTGCACTACCATTAATTCCATGTCGAGCCGGACCCAGTGGGTGCTATCTTCGACCTCAGCTTTGACTGTGATCGTCCCTTCTACTTCTATGGTATCCCCTATAAATCCTGACAACGGGGTGCAAATCAGCTTTAGGCGCTCAGGATAACCCAAACTCTTGGAACATGTTGTTTTACATTATGTTTATCAAACTCTTGGTGTTGACCAGGGTTCGATGGACCACGACCTTATTGATTTCCATCTTGATCACCAAGGTGTCTCAGTGAGGGCTGGCCATTGGCGGGTAATCTTCATCGGTAAACAGGATGGGTTCCCATCTCTTCTTTTTTCGCAGGGGGCCTTTGGATCTCTGCCAGGTTCACTATATTCCTCCACTTTTTCATGGAGGATGCTAAATCTCCTCCGGTGTTTCCACCAATGATGAACCGACATCGCAGGTGCTACCGATTCTGCCTTTTGTCTTCATCTAAGTCATCACACTCTCTTCCCAAGTGCCTCCTTCCCCGTTGGGTTCCCATCTCTTCCTTTCTTCTTTCTTTTCTGGTTCCTTCTTCTTTTCTTCAGTTGGTTGACTAATTAGTTCAACCTCAGACTCCTCCTCCAATGTTGGTTCAGTACTTTGACCAACGCCTTGAACTTCCTTTCCACTGTGTAGAGTAACAGCGTTAAGATGTTCGCGTGGATTGGTTTCAGTTTTGGCCGGGAGAGTTCCAGGAGGTCTGATTGTCATCTTATCCATTAGTTGTCTCATAGATTCCTCTAACCTTTGAATTCGTTCTTCACTCTTTTTATTTTGCTCCTCCATCATCCTTTTCATTTCGGCCATAGGATCCTCAACTTGTCTTTGGTGTGGGGGAACATATACTTGAGTATTTCCCCCTTGGTTATAGCCAGACCCTCTTTGACTATTCTAATTGGTGTTGTTGTTCCAGCCGCCTTGTTTGTAATCGTCCCTTGAACGATTATTTCGCTGGAAATGGTTATTGTTGCGCTCCCTCGAAGGATCATCGCGCTGATAAACTGGCTGGTACTGATTAGGGGCCCATGGTCCTTCCCCTTTGTTGGCATATTGTGCCAAGTGTACTTCACGCGGCCGTTCCTTTGTTGTGCTTTCATTGTACGGGCACTGAGATGTCAGATGTGCACCTGTACAAGATTCACAAGACAGGACCAGTTCATTTTGGTGTGAACTAGATCCTCCTTGATAGTAAGCATCGGCCTGAGCAATTGATTCATGTTGTTTGTTTGGATGCGAACTTGCACTGAACTGATCTTGGATGGTTCGCTTGATGAGACTTTCCATACTTGCCTTGAGTGCTGTGAAAGTGTCCACCTCATACATTCCAGCTTTTTGTTGTGGAACTCGGTCTTCGTACCAGTATTTTGCATTTGATGTGAGTTTTTCCACCAATTCTTCATTTTCCTCCGGCATCATATCTAGGAAAGAACCGACCTTTGAAGAGTGGTCTAGTTCTTTCTTCGATGAAACCAGAAGTCCTTGGTAGAAATGGAACATTAGGCTGTCAGGATCAATTAGAGCAGGTGGACATTTGATCTTCAGATCCTTGAATCTTTCACATGCTTCACTTAAAGATTCAGTCGAATTTTGAGAAAAACTCTGAATAGATCTTTTAATTTTTGCAATGGCAGATGGTGGGAAGTATTCGTGCATGAAGGCTTGATGAAGCGCCTCCCATGTGGTGAAATGTCCTTTCGGGAACGTATTCAACCATCGTGCTGCCCTATCTCGTAGTGAGAAGGGAAACAACGATAGTTTAACACGATCGGCAGACACTCCATTCGTTCTGAATGTTTGGCAAGTTCGAGAAAACCATAACATGTGAGCTCTTGGATCTTCATTTTTAAGACCCCCAAATTGATTGTTCGAGACCATTTGGATCATTGCGGGTTTGATCTCGAACATGTGGGCATCAATATTGGGGAGTCCAATTGGATCTTCCTCAGTATATGCGGGGCTCATTGCTTGGAGCACCGTCCGTCTCATTCTGTTGTTATTGACCTCCTCCATTTGAATAACAAGTTGCTCAACTTCTTGTTTTTCTTCTTCAGAATTCTCACCGGGTGAATTTTTAGGTTGGCGGAGAATTCCTTCAGGATTATCAGTGTACGGAGCAAAACTACCCCCACTAGTAGAGTGGGTTTGCATGTAGTTTGCCAAATAATGAAAAGATGATAGAAAATCGACTTAACCAATTTTCTTCCAGGCTAACTAAATAATTTTAAAAAAAAAAAATTTTACGCGCCAATCCCCGGCAACGGCGCCATTTGAAGATTGATTTTTAGTGGTAGTAAATTTCCCTCTAAAAGAGTTCAATTTATTCCCGTGTCGTATTCACAAGGATTGGCATGTAAATAAATTTTCTATTAAAAATTAGTTAGACAAGGTATAATGATTGGTATTGGAAGTTTTCTAATTTCGAAAATTTAGGTTGATTGAACAGAATAGTAACTTGATTGAATTGATAAAGAGGAATATGAATTGATTTCAGGTAGTAGGCAATTTTCAGATTTCTTAACTAGTTGGAATACCAAAATAATTAATTAATTGTTTAATGAGAGTTCTGTCACAACTACTCCATTAATTATATCTTATCTCTAAGTTTCATTAATGTGCTACTATTGGTTGACTAAATTATTTTTCACATTCATAGACAAATGGATATAATAATTTTTCAATAATTAATTAATAAATTGGCCAGATAAATTAATTATAACATTACAACAATTACTAGCAACTTAACATTTTAATTAATTAAATTTAATATTCCAACTTAATTAAATTTATCCTACATACCTACTACTATATTTCAATTCACATTCCTAAAATATTTAAGCAGACATGATAACAAATAAATGCACATAAATTAAATAACAAGACATTTTCATAAATATTACAGAAAACTTACAACTTCCAGAAAAAGCGGAATTGAACAATTCTGGACTTGAAACTCCCAAAATGAATAAAAACTAAAATTTTTTAAAGAAATTTCGTAACTAGAGAGAGAAGGAGAGAAAGATTTTTAGAATGAGATGGTTGGAATGGCAGGGGAAGCGCTGCTTTTATAGCCTTCCGGAAGCCCAGGCGCGCGCCTGAAGCTGAGGCGCACGCCTGTCAGGCGCCTGGGCTTCTGTTTGATTGGATTCCCCGCCGAAAATCCGATCTTGCGCCGTTTCAAATCGTCACCCCCACAGGCGTGCGCCTGAGGCTGCGGTGCACGCCCATCAGACGCCTGGGCTCAACTTCGACCCAATTTTGGCAATTTTGATATTTTGATCCATTCTTTTTGCTCCAAAGCCTGATTTGATCTCTTTCTTCACTTGTGATCATCAATTTGAAATATTTTCTTCTATTTGGCCATGATATGCTTGGAAAAACTAAATTTAATTTTGAACAATCTTTTTATTAATCAAATTTGTAAAATGACTTTTTATCATAAAAATTTATTTGAAATTCTTGATTTATTTTTGTTTACGTACAAGAACGTTGAAATATAAGGTATAAAATAAGACCAAAAAATTGGACTTATCATTGTTCGTCCCCTGGACGTCCTTAGCCTCCTCCCAGCGGGATATATGAAATCCCGGAGTCGTTCCGCCTTTCGTATCTTGACGTTAAGTAAGTGAGAGTAGGAGAGTTTTGCCATCAACTTGCTGCAAAGTGCACGAGGAACTTGTTTGACAAGTCCTTCCACCGATCGATTGATCCCTTGGGTAGCTTGTAAATCCATTCACATGATTGGCCTTCTAGTGTCGCCAAGAAGCACCGACAATTGATCTCCTCAGGGTAGGCTAACATAACCACGTTATCCCAGAATCGTGATAGATGATCTTGGGGATCAGTCATTCCATTATAGGCCTTCACCTAGGGCACCTTGAAATTCTCCGGGATGATCGACCGTCATTCAGCCGGTAGAATGCAGAGGTCTGGGGTTTTTTTGCTTGGGTCCCCAATCCTTTCGGAGGTAGTGGGACATTCGAATGACGAGGATTCGCCTTCCTCATCCAATCTCGATATATTTTCTTCAGCGGTGGATTTCCCATTGGGCTTAGTTGCCCTCTTTTTCTTGGAGCGTCATGTTTTTTTCTTCTTCTTACCGTCTGATCCTTCCGGCCCAGCGTGCGCCCCTGTAACATCGTCAATAATAATCTCCTGATGTGGAGTGAGGGCAGCGACAACTTCCTTGAATTGTTTGGAAGTGATACTAATCCGTTGAATAAGGAGTTCAGCCTCCCCCACGCTAATTAGGATGTGGCGGCCCTCGGTGGCGCTACGTTCCTCCTGGTGAGTGTTGCCGTTGGGTTAGTTGGCGTTGCTGCGTGTTTACACCATTGTTTCGTATAGGTTTTCCATGAGATATATCTCTCGAGCTCTCAATTAGAGCGCCAATTTTATGGACAAGAATTCCACCAAGTGACCTTAATCAGGAGTTGGGTCGGATTATTATTAGATATTAGAGCTTGAGAGTACAATATAGGTCGCTAGGTTTGGCTTGAGGAAGCTAATGGTGTCCCTCCCTTATTTATAGGGTTCGCATGACATATTTAGAGATCAAAAATTAATAAATAAGGAATCCGAATCACGTATGATTCTCCATAGATCCGCAAAAGTCACCACTCTTCCGTACCCTAGCCACGCATTCTTCCCTTGGTTGCGTGCCCACCCAGAATCGACGTATCCGCAGGTCGGGTCAGCTTAGGCCTAACCTCCTGTCTCCAGGCCCAGATCTTCAGCAGGCTCCGCTAGGCTATATGGATTTAATAAATAAATATAAACATAAATATTATTATTAATCACGGTCAAATATCTAGGGGCAGTCTATATTTATTTTTGGAATTTTTTTTATATATGGGCTTTAATATATAAATATAAATATTTTCTATATATTAATCATTTTCAAAGTTTCCAGGGGTTGGTCTAGATTTATTTTAGGAAAATATTTTATGTATAGACTTTAATAGAGACGTGTTAAAACTTTTTATTATATATGGAGAGGTCTAGACTTATTTTAGGAAAATTTTTTATATGTGGACTTTATAATTTAATTAATAAATAAATATAAATATTATTATTAATCACGGTCAAAATTTATAGGCGTGCATCTAGATATATTTTAGGAAAGTTTATTATATATGGGCTTTAATAAATATATATAAATATTTTTAATAGTCAAGGTCAAAGTTTCTAGGGATGGTTAGATTTATTTTAGGAAAAGTTGTTATATATGAATTTTAATAAATAAATTAATAAATATAAATATTTTTATCAATCACGGTCAAAGGTTCTAGGAGGGAAATGCATAATTTTATTTGTATTTTTTTAATCATAGATATGCTTTTTATTATATATGGAGAGGTCTAGATTTATCTTAGGAAAATTTGTTATATATGGAATTTTTCTCATATAAAGAGCTTATTATATATTGAGATTAACACCATCATCATTTAATTGCAGCGCGTGGTCTAAATTTATTTTAGGAAAAATTTGTTACATGTGGACTTTAATAAATAAATAAATAAATAAATATAAATATTTTTATTTATAATGATCAAAGGTTTTAGCTTTTGTCTAGATTTATTTTAAGAAAATTTGTTGTATATAGACTTTTACATCTAAATAAATATAAATACTTTTATTAATCCCGGCCAAAGTTTCTAGGGATGGTCTAGATTTATTATAGGAAAATTTGTTATATATGAATTTTAATTAATAAATAAATATAAATATTTTTATTAGTCACGGTCAAAAATTCTAGAAGGGAAATGAATAATATTATTTGTATTTTTATTTTTTATTATATATTGAGAGGTCTAGATTTATCTTAGAAAAATTTGTTATATATGAACTTGTTATTATATAATGAGTTTATTATGGGGGTGTTTCGTTGTGCAGGTGCTTATTGGCGTTTTTCTCAAACTTTTACCTCCACTATCTTTTTTTTCAAAAATGACATCCTTATCTCACTTTGAGGTGTCTTTTCTTTAGTATATATTTTTATAAATAGTTTAGTAAATAGCCTTGCAATAGGGTTTATTTTTGGAAAATATTCAGAAATAAATATTCAACATAGTTAATTTTAATATAAATGTAAATAAATCAGCTAGTAAAAATTAATTATTAGTATAAAAATATCATCTAAAAATGGCAAGAAGTAAATATTCAACATACTATATTTTAGTATAAATTTTAGTATAAATGGAAATAAATCAATGGATGAAATATATATTTTATTATAAAAACACTCATCTAAAAATGGCAAGAAATAAATATTCAACATAGTATATTTTAGTACATATTTTGTATGAAAATAAATCAATTGATGAAATAAACTAGAATGAAAAATTTAAAAAATACTTATCTATAAATGGTAAGAATTCAAATAGTCTTGAATAACGATTGTTTTGTAAGGAAAAACAAAATAAGATTTAATAATGGGCAATATCTCATCCATTTAAAAATTTAATTTCATTCAAAAGATGTTCAATAAGTAAAAAATAAGTTTCACATTTATTATGAGATTGTAAAATAAATGTATTTTTTATCAATATTAGTATTGCATATTCCACTGTGATAGAGATAAAATTTTCATATTCAATCCTTTACTAAACTTTATATTCTATTGTATATTAATTTCTATTCTTCAATAATGATCTGAATATAATTTAATAATATAAATGGAGCCGTGCAACGCACGGGTGTGATACTAGTTATATTCATAATAGGTAAAAAATGAATAAATTTTGACCATGTAAGCAATATAAATGTCATTTAATTACTGACAGAAAGAGTATTATAATTATTATTTTTTATTTAAATTTTTTTTATTTTTCTCAAATTAATTTAGATTAATAAAATATCCATAACTTTTAGAACATAGTTTAGTGTCATGTAAATTAAAAAAAAATATTTTCACAATAAAATTGTACTAGGTATTATTTATACTAAAATAGAAGAAAAATAATAATGCACGTGAATCACAAAATAGTGACATGAGAAAAATGAAATTAGAAAAATCGAAATAATTTTACACTATAGTTATAATGATGATGATGATAATAATAATAATAATAATAATATATACATGAAAAGTGTATTATTTTTTAAGTCATTTTTTGGGAGTAAAAAATGATTGTAGAAAATGGGAATAGTTGGAAAATTAGGAAGAAACTGGAAAAAATGTGAAGAAACTCGAAGAAACTAAAAAAAATTTGAAAAAGCTGGATGAAATTGGGATATACCGGAAGAAACTAGAAGTTAAGACTTTAAACTCTAAAGAACCGGCTATAATGAGTGAGAGTATTATATAGGAGAATTGAATATGTTTTTGTACTTGGTATATAAAGTTTTTGATATCATACGAAGTAATTTCTTACTACTTCAATCCCAGACTAACTTGATGGAGTAGACATTTTTTTATAACTATCTCTGTCTACCTTGAAATGTTCGTGTCAAAACAAATGAACTTTAATACTCCAAGAAAATATTACTATCTGTGCATGCAGTTACTGTGGAGCCATCAGCCTCAGAAGCAGTGTCAATGCTAGAGAAGGGAAAGGAGACGTACCATTTAGTGATGGCAAACATAATGGACTCCTTCGACGCCAACACTTTCAAACTCCTTCGCGTTGCTGCTCTGCATTTAGGCCTCCCAACTCTGCGTGTGTCATCTAGTTTAATTATTTTCTTCTTCTTTTAAAACGTCTCTTATGTTAGTATTTTGTGCATTTTGATGCAACAAAAACTAAAATAGTGTGGTTTGTACGCGTAGTGATGACCGATCACGAGGACTGCGGTGGAGCACTAGCGAGGGTTGCGCTGCGGGAAGGCGCATTTCTTTGTCTTGAGAAACCCATTTCCGCTTATACAATCAAATATTTATGGCAACATGTGCTCAGAGAGACGTCGTCTCGATCTTGCTGGGAGGTGTCTAATAACAACAACAACAACAACAATAATAATAATAAACAAGTTGTGTTTACCAATAATGGTTTCATGGTTAATAATAATATTAATGATAATAATGCTGCTGTTGTCGCCGTGAAGAAGAACAAGGCGAGAAATAATTATAATCACGAGTACTCGAACCGCGAGAAAAAGAGGAGTCGTGGTGTGTTGGTTTGTAAAAAACATTCAAACACCACAACTACTTCCGGGGAGGAACGAGTTTTATGGACAGAAGAGCTACATAGCTTGTTCATGGATGCAATTCATAAGCTCGGCGAAGGAAGTACGTACGTAGTATATATACGGAGTATATAGTGTTTAATTGTTTCCTATTTAATTTAAAGTTTGCATATTTTTATAAAACTGAACTCATAATTTACATTATATGTTCAAAATAAAGGGTGTTTTCCAAAAGAAATAGTGGAGACTATGAACGTGCCTAATCTCACTCGGATGCAAGTCGCCAGCCACCTTCAGGTACGTACATTATTAGTAGTTCTTTTTATAAAAATTTACACATATTACTAAAATATAAGTCATTAACTTTTTAGTTATGTTAGAGTATATATAACAATCATTCCTGGGTCACAACCACAAGCTTGAGTTTTTGGTTGAATTGTTTCCTTGACATGGTATCGGAGCCTTGATGACCAAGAGGTCACAAGTTCAAAACTCACCGCCACCCAGTTTAAAAAAATTAAGGTTTCACGTGCAAGGCTCAAAGAGGTCACGCTTGCACGTGAGGGGGCGTGTTAGAGTATACTCCCTCCGTCCCGTGAAACATTTCCCCTTTCTTTTTTTATCCGTCCCACAAAACACTTCTCATTTCTATTAAAAAGTCACTTTTACCCCTTACTTTTTCATACCCTAACTATCACATTATACCTTTTTACTAATAATCTATCCATCAAATCATACTTTTACCCATCACATCAAAGGACATTTTTGGAAATTCAATACCAAAATACACTCCCTTAAATCCCTCCTAAAAAGCAAATGTCCCATATTTCACGGGACGGAGGGAGTATATAACAATCATTCCTGGGCCACAACCACAAGCTTGAGCTTTTGGTTGAATGGGTTCCTTGACAAGTTACTACCTTATTATTATTATTATTATTATTACATGGAATTATTTAAATAAACGTATATGAAAATGTACTGGTATGGATGGTTTGTTATTAAGAGGAATTTACTTAAATAGCACTAAAACATAATGACTTTTCCTAAATAGAACCACATGTGTTTTTCTTCCCAATGTAGCACTTTTAGTCATTATGCATTAGTTATTATTCAAGCAAATATTCATCATCACTGGACATTATTAAGTGCTATTTAGAGAATAAAACAATTTAAGTGTTATTTAGGGAAATGACTTAAGTTTTAGTGCTATTTAGTGCAAATATTTCTTGTTATTAATGTGGTCTTATAATTATATTGTAGAAGTGTCGCAACAATGACTGGCATGGTCCCAAAAATAAGAAGAAGAAACCTAATAATAATAATAATAATTATAACCAGCAGCAGCCAAGTTCCCAAGGTGACGACGGCGTCAAAAAGCGACATCCTCCGAGGTTTGGAGCAATGCCTGTCGTCATCGAACAAGACAACGCTGAGGAGGAGTCCAACCTCGTCGACGTGGATGACTTTTTAGTCGATGATCTGTCACGCAGCCCCTTTTATAATGAAAAGGTTACTGCTAGTCATCTCTGCTGGTTCAATTATATCTCTATTCTTAATATCACCTATTATCAAAATAGCAATTTGGTTTTCTTATTGTACTTCAATGAATGAATGCCAAGGTTTCTAATTACCCTCATAACTATATATTTTTTAATATGGCATGCAGATTTGAACAAGACATGAAGAAAAATGTGACATTTTCAGATATTGTCATATCGAGGTGCATCAATGTGATTGTCGGGGAAAGTAAATATTGTCTTAAATGTGCTGTTATCATTGTGATATTTTGTAATTTTAGAGCAAGTCACTATAACATTATGAACTTTGGACATGAAAATGAAAACTTGCACGAATTGTCTATCAAACAAGCTAAAACACACCACACAATGTTTCACAGCTTGTTACAGTACATGTTAAAAAGGAAAGATGATGCTCAATGTGCTGTACCAATCTCTGATTCACAAATAAACAATTAACAAGGACAAATCTATCTCTTTTATGTTTTCTGTAAATGAATGATATGAATAAATCTAATCTGACATTATCGTCGTCTTTGATTCAAGCAACTTTTCAAGTTCTAACTTCTCATTAGTGCATCCAATAATCTAGGTTTCTTTTTTAATCTCTTTTCTTAAATCTCTTAATCTTTTCATTCCATGTTTGTAGAATCATACATACTCCGTATATGAAATAATGGATCATAGTGAGATACTTTTGTCAATTGTTAAAGAATTTTGCACATTGAGAGTTGATATATGTAAATCATTTACCATCTTTACTTATTGGGTTGTTTCGGCAGCCCGGGACTCAAGTTGGAACACCATAATAAGGCACTTCAAAAGAAATTCATTAGACCATCTGACTTATTTATCCCATCACACAAAAATTGAATCAGAATGACCTTCATAAGATATGGTGGCATTCATCATCTGCACAATTCTATTTCATTTGTTTTGCAGAATCTCATTAAAAGAAGATAAATAGAGAACAATAGTATACCTTTTTCGCTTTATTTAGGTTTTACATTATCATAGTGAGGTATTTTGTCAATTTTTTTTAAAATTTTGCACATTGAGAGTTGATATATGCAAATCATTTACCATCATTACTTATTGTATTATGTTAGCGGGATTTTACACAAAAACAAATATTTGATTTGTATTCGAAACAAGATGTCTGGATTTTACAATCATTGAATGATGACAAACAGGTACAAATTAAGACTTGAGTAATTGACACTTTTAGACAGTGCTACTATTGTCATATTTGAATATTTTACTTACCATGGCCAAAGTTAATTTCTGCCAATGATAAGTGTATTTTTGTTTCATCCATTTACATACTACTCGAGTATATATGATATTCTTTTCACTACAGTTCCTCTTTAATTTTAGATTTTGTTCATGCTAATGAAAAGAATATATGAACAAGAACCTGATATTGGAGATTGAGACAAGTTGGTCACCAAGTTTAAGAGTGATAAGATTGAAGAAAAATAATACGGAGTATTATACTTAATTTATAAAAGAGTTTTGTTTTATGGTTTGACTTACATGATATGGTTAGACTACACCATGTAAGAGTGGGTAGTAGTAGATGATTTTATGATTTTGTCTACAAATACTTTTATTTGGTTTAGCCTAAAAGCTTAAACGTATGTCTAGGTTCAAATATTTTGGTCTATGATAAATTTAAAATTCATTAAATTTATGTAAAATGGTCTTTTACCGTATATTACGTTCTAACACTGTTGTTCTTTATAATATAGTTTTTATTTATAAATTTTTTTATGATGGGTCGTACCTACTGATGGAAACCGCTTTTTCGGGGCGTCGACCCGACGAAATCGGTACCGGGTCGGCACCGCACCGAATAGCGAAATCCGGAAATTAAATAAATAAATAAATAAATAAAGCGGAGAGAAAGTATTTATACGTGGAAACCCAAATAGGGAGAAAACCACGGGCCTTTTTAGGCGGTGCCATGCCAAAGGGGAGGAACTTTTGTTAATCTCGGGGGAATTTACATATACATCATTGTATAAGCTTGGAGCCATTAATAGAGCCCCAAGCTTAAAGAAGAAGAAGAATGAAGAATAGTAGTAAGTTGTTGTAGGAATCTGGCCTCCCTCCACTGTATGGCTCTATCTCCTTCTCTTATAAAGAGAATATATGGGACATATACTTCATATCACACTTGTGGAAAGACAAGCCCATGTGGAGGTCAAGTGTGTCCCATGTGGTGATGTCTCTTGGGCTCCATCAAATATTTTTATATCACTTCAAATTATCTTCTTCGTTTTATATCTCGGGTTCCATCTTGAATAATTTATCTGATTTGTAAATGGGCCGAACTGAGTTGGGCTTACTTGTACTGTTCAAATAATATTGGATTAGGAAAAATCCCTAATCCATCACATGCCCCCTAGTTTTGAGTCTGTCTCGGAGAACGAGACAGATTCAAAACTATATGACTCGGTGGGTTGCCTCGTGGGACAGAATTTTTCTTGGTGCCTCGGGAAGAAGACTTTTCTCAGGGATTTGAGCCTCTTGGAAGATGATTTTCTCAGGGCTTAGTGCCTCTTGGAAGAGGACTTTCTCAAGGATTTGTTCTTCTTGGAAGAAGACTTTTCTCATGGATTTGAGCTTCTTGGAAGAAGACTTTTTTCAAGGATTTGTGCCTTTTGGAAGAGGACTTTTCTCGGGGATTTGTGCCTCTTGGAAGAGGACTTTCTCAGGGCCTTGTGCCTCTTTGGAAGAGGACTTTCTCGAGACTTTGTGCCTTTTTGGAATAGGACTTTCTCAGGACTTGGTGTCTCTTTTAAAGAGGACCTTCTTGGGACTTTGTGCCTCTTTGGAAGAGGACTTTCTTGGGACTTTGTGCCTCTTTAGAAGAGGACCTTCTCGGGACTTTGTGCCTCTTTAGAAGAGGACTTTCTTGGGACTTTGTGCCTCTTTAGAAGATGACCTTCTCGAGACTTTGTGCCTCTTTAGAAGAGGACTTTCTTGGGATTTTGTGCCTCTTTGGAAGAGGACTTGGTGCCTCGGGGAAGAGGACTTTTCTCGGAGATTTTATGCCTCTTGGAAGAGGACTTTTCTTTCTTTTTAGTTCCTCGGGAAGAGGACTCGGTGCCTCTTGGAAGAGGACTTTTCTCGGAGATTCGTTGCCTCTGGGAAGAGGACTTTGCTCGGGGCTCTTTTTTCAATATTTTTTGGGAGCCTCTAAACCCCCACCTGATATCTATTTGACGGTGGTTGGGCGCTCCGCTCTTATTGAATTATAGACAATCTCCGTCTACCTTTCTCTTCGTCCATGTCCCTCCAATTGAGGGGGGGCCTACTCTAATCTCTTTCATAGGATTCCTTATTTTTGGGTAGCTTGTTCCTAATGGGCTGGGCTTCAGCCCATCCTTAAGCCCCAATCCTTTTCCTTTTCTTATCTTTCCTCAATCTCGGTACGGGAGTCTATGACTATCTCCAGTAATCTGATCACTTAACTTGATCTAATTACTGACCTCTGCTTTCTATTCTTTTACATTATTACTTTTATCAACTTATACAACTCG